CCGTCCGGAATGCTTCGCCCCCCCGTCCCCTCCCGCCGGGGCTGGGGCTGGCGCCCGCTGAGCCCAACCCCGCTCCCACAGGTGCTACATCACCCTGACGCAGTCCCTGCACCTCAGCAGGGGGGGGGCCCCTGCCGGCCCCGCCGGCACCGGGAAAACGGAGACCACCAAGGACCTGGGCCGTGCCGTGGGCATGATGGTTTATGTCTTCAACTGCTCCGAGCAGATGGACTACAAGGTAGAGCCCAGGACGGCGGCGCCGGGAGGAGAGCCGTGGGGCGACCGCTGGGACTGGGGAAACCCCCTCCCCGGAGGCACTGCTGGAGTTTGCACCCACTCCCCACGTTAGGCTGCATGCCCTGAAATCGGGCCTGGAAGCTGGTGCCATAAACCACACCTGGTGGGTGGGATGTCCCCTCTGCCCAGCCGGTGGCGGCAGGAGACCTGCGTTCGCTCCAGCCGGGTGCAGCCCACCGCGGCTCCCAGCGAGCCGCCTTCCCTGTGCGAGTCTGGGGTGGCCGTAACGCTACCCGGCTTTCCCTTTGGGAAAAACATAAAAGCAAGAACAGTTCCTAATAATTGAGCTTTTCTAACAAATTCCCATCTTGCAGCCTCCGTGTAAAAGCTGCACGTGTCTAAAGCGTGTCCCTATGCTTCACTCTGCAGTCCTGCGGCAATATCTACAAAGGGCTTGCTCAGACTGGCGCCTGGGGCTGCTTCGACGAATTCAACCGCATTTCGGTGGAGGTTTTGTCCGTGATCGCTGTGCAGGTAGGGGTTTTCTCAGCAGACAGCTATTCTGCCTATCAGACCAGTGATATAGCTGTGCCCTCAGACTTCCCACCCTGATCGCCCTGATTCGTGTACCGAATGCCAAGCACTGTTTCAGGTTAAAATCTGACCATCAGAGGGTCTGTTTGCAGCTATTATTCCCTAGGGGAAGGCGACCTAGGGGAAGTGCAGCAATACAGAGGGTTTGGGCATGTTTAAGGGCAGTGAGTCACGGCAAGCACGGTGGCAGCACCGCGGCTCTGGCTGCCTCCCATCCCTGTCTCCTCCTCATCCTCCCTCCAGCGCGTGCAACCCCTGGTGCCACGGTGTCACAATGCCTGGGAGCAAGCAGTTTAAGGACAGCTTTTCTGAGCCCCTCAGCTTGCTAAGCTGAGCTCCGAGTCCTGTTTTTAGCATTGCCTGTGGCACAAGTGACCCCCCCCCCCCAGGCTGGTTTTCTGCGGGCGGTTGGTGGGGGCAAGCTGAGGGATGCATGGGGCCGTCCCCACTAATGCCTCTGCTCGCCTGCCTAGGTGAAATGCGTTCAAGATGCAATTCGTGCCAAAAAGAAAAAGTTCAATTTTCTTGGCGAGATGATAGCTCTGATACCATCAGTCGGGCTGTTCATCACGATGAATCCTGGCTATGCAGGACGGACAGAACTGCCTGAGAATTTAAAAGCTCTGTTCAGGTACCCATAGGCAGATGAGTCACCACTTAACTAGCAATCTTTACAGTGTTTTACTCCTGGTGTAACGCTTGTGTGTTACATCCCAGAGCATGAAATAAGCCTTTGCTCATGCAAATGAGAATATTTGTGTGTACTGGCAGCCCCAGTGTAGGAAAGACCTTGGCACCCCGGCAACAGTCGTGCTCAAAGCTGCTAGGATGCCCAGAGGCTGGGAGAGCCTCTGCTCCGCCTGGAGAGGAGGATACTCTGGGCATCTCATTGCCATTCTCAGCCACCTGATGGGGGCTTGCAGATAGGACAGAGCCAGGCTTTCCTTGGAGGTGTCCTGTGAAAGGACCAGAGACACCTGGGACAAGCTGTAGCAAAATAAAAATCCAGCTGAGAATAAGGGAGAAAAATTCCCCACAAAGGTGGTCAAATACTGGAAGGGGTTGCCCAGGGAGGCTGTGGGATTTCTGTCCTCGGAGAAACTCAAAGCTCAACTGGAAGAGGCTCAGAGTGACCTGACCTGGCTTTGAAATGAGCCCTGCTTGGAGCAGGAGGTAGCTCCATGCAGGACACCTCCAGAGATCCCATCCAGACTAATTATTGTCTGATGCTCTGATGCTAATAGTACTGAAGGATTTGTACAGAAAACCCAAATGCAGATTCTTACCCACCTGCGGGAGGGTGAGGCAGCACACAGCTGCGTGTGCACAGACCCTACTATCCCTTCACTGCTCTTCTCCAGACCCTGTGCCATGGTCGTCCCAGATTTTGAACTTATCTGTGAAATCATGCTTGTTGCAGAAGGTTTTATTGATGCTAAGCTTCTAGCAAGAAAGTTTATTACTCTGTATACACTGTGCAAAGAGCTACTGTCTAAACAGGTAAGTTAGCACTATTGCATGGTTCTTTAAGATGAAACAGTTAATCTGAATTTAGAACTCGATAGAGAGTTTAAAACCCTCTCAGCTGGTAGCAACATGTTGGCTTGCATTCTGCATAGCTCAGGGTCTATGGTTGGAGAAATTCCACTTCCATGCTGGCGTATCATATGGCATGTTTCTGCCTTCTGGAAGAAATAAAGGCATTCAAAAATAGAACAGAATATAGCCTATTAAAATGAGAGCATCCAGATGTTAGTCATTTCAGCATAAGTGATTTACAAGCAAATAAAAATGTGCTTCCCAGGAAACAAGACAGACTGCCATTCATCTCTTGGCTGAATAGGGTTTGTCTTGTAAATAAGCCCACTTTAAGATGACTCTGCTGGGCACTGTGGACAACCTGGGTTTGGGGCAATAGCAGGGGTATTCTTCTGTATTTTTGTTTAAAGCATTTCTCTTTCACCAAAATGAAATTCTAACATTTTGCCGCCTGTTCGCCAGGACCATTACGACTGGGGTTTGCGGGCCATCAAGTCTGTGCTGGTGGTAGCAGGCTCCTTGAAGAGAGGGGACCCCGGCCGTGCTGAGGACCAAGTCCTGATGAGAGCTTTACGAGACTTTAACATCCCCAAGATTGTGACAGATGACTTGCCCGTGTTCATGGGTCTGATTGGAGACCTCTTCCCAGCTCTGGACGTCCCCAGGAAGCGGGACCTGAACTTTGAGAAGGTGTGAGCGTGGGCAGGACTCTCAGGTCTCCCTGTACCACATAGCTCTGAGTAGCATGGGAGAGGCTGGGATGGAGATACTTGGACCAAGAACCAGGCTGGAGCAGAGGCAGCTGCCTGGTCGCTGGTCCATTCAGTGCAGCTTGTCTCTGCGGTCCTTGCTGAGGCCGTGGTGGTGATCTTTGGCCTGCTCAGCACCTGCTCTCCCCAACAGGTCATTAAGCAGTCCATGCTCGAGCTGAAGCTGCAGGCAGAGGAGAGCTTCGTGCTGAAGGTGGTGCAGCTGGAGGAGCTGCTGCAAGTCAGGCACTCGGTGTTTGTCATCGGCAATGCTGGCTGCGGCAAGTCCCAGGTAGAGATGATGTCGAGCCTCAAACCCGGCAGTGCTGGTGCAACGGGGTGGCAGCAGGTTTAGGGCATCCCCACAGTGCTCTGCAGGTTGCGCTCATGCAGGAGGCAGGCAACCTCCCCATGGGTGAGGAACGGAGCCGGTGACGTAAGTGACACCAGTGACACTGCACGGGGCTCCTGGACTCACCACGCACCCTCTAGCTGGCCAGGAACCAGGTCCATCTGGAGCGTCCCCAGCAGCAATCTGGGCTTGGATGCTGGGGGCAGGCAGGAGCAGGGGCCACTCTGGCTGGCTGCAGACGCCCTCAGCAGCGCCGTCCCTCCCTCCCTCCCCGTAGGTGCTGAAATCTCTCAACAAGACTTACCAGACCATGAAGCGGAGGCCGGTTGCTGTGGATCTGGACCCAAAAGCTGTAACCTGCGACGAGCTGTTTGGGATTATTCATCCGTCGACCCGCGAGTGGAAGGACGGTGAGACACCCCAAGCTTGGGCTTGCAGCCACGGGGAAGGTCGCTCATACTGAATAGGAATCGGCACATAACAGGCTTCAGCAAGCGGCTGATGCATCGGCAAATGTTTTCATGAAATGCATTTCTGGAAATGCTGCATCTTTGCTGCCAGGACAAGAAAAGACCTTTCCTGTAGCTTTTTAATAGAGTATGAGGAGGGGGAGAGAAGGGAGGACAAATGTGCTTAGGGGAAGCACCAAGTCCCACGCATTCCTCTTGGCAAACATGCTGTAGAAAGGAAAAAACCATGTGTCTCCACACGGGGCAGGTCTGTTCTCGTCCATGATGCGTGACCTGGCCAATATCACCCATAAGGGGCCCAAGTGGATCATCCTTGACGGAGATATCGACCCCATGTGGATCGAGTCCCTGAACACAGTCATGGATGACAATAAGGTTGGTGCCATCTCATCCCCGCGGAGCTGGGCTGGCTCCTGTGCTCGGCACGCCCCCCCGACAGACCCCCCCGAGCCTGCAGCGTCTCGACATGCCACGTCCTCCCCCAGGTCCTCACCTTGGCCAGCAACGAGCGCATCCCCCTCAACCCCACCATGAGGCTGCTCTTCGAGATCAGCCACCTGCGCACTGCCACGCCGGCGACCGTGTCCCGCGCAGGAATCCTCTACATCAACCCCGCTGACCTGGGCTGGAACCCGTGAGTCCACGCCGTGCCGTGCCGGGACCGGGACTGGGACCAGGGCTGGGACTGGGGCCAGGGCTGGGACCAGGACGAGCACCCGCTGGCACCCTGACCTGCAGCCCGCTCCGTCCCCTTTGCAGCGTCGTTACCAGCTGGATCGAGAAGAGGACGGTGCAGTCCGAGAAGGCCAATTTAATGATCCTGTTTGATAAGTACCTGCCTACGTGCCTCGACAAGCTGAAGTTCGGGTTCAAAAAAATCACTCCAGTGCCCGAGATCACAGTGATCCAGACCACGCTGTACCTGCTGGAGTGCCTGCTGACGCCGCAGCACACGCCGCCGGACTCCCCCCGGGAGCTCTACGAGCTCTACTTCGTGTTCGCCTGCGCCTGGGCCTTCGGGGGGGCCATGTTCCAGGACCAGGTGGGTCCCCCCGCCGCCCCGGCCCCCGCGGACGGGCCAAAGAGAGGCTCCCAGCCCGGCTCCCAGGCGCTGACTGTTTCGTTCCTTCTAGCTCGTGGATTACCGCGTGGAGTTCAGCAAGTGGTGGGTGAACGAGTTTAAAACCATCAAGTTCCCTTCTCAGGGGACGATCTTTGACTATTACATCGACCCAGAAACTAAGAAATTCATGCTCTGGACTGAAAAGGTGCCAAAATTTGAACTTGATCCAGAAGTCCCTTTACAGGTATTTCCCATAAGCTATCTTTATTTACATTTTTTAATGTGTTCATTAACAAATGGTCTTCCCCCAAGCAACTATGGGCAAGGACAGGTATCTGGAATGGGGCAGACAGGCTGCCTCTGCCACTAAAGAGCGTGCAGACCGATGGCATCAGGCAAATCCTAGAGCTCTTTGTGGTCTTGCTTTACTTGACATCAACTCGGTGAGAGCTGCAGTTGCAGCTCTTCTTTTTTTAATTTCAGATGAAAATGTGACTTCATAGGTTCTCATGAGCTAATTATAATTATTGCCAGAATGCAAGATGTACTTTACAATATTATTTTCATATGTCTCTTAAAA